GTCCTTGTTGGGTGAAAGCCTTTTTAAGATTGGTGAGGTGGCAATCCCGGGTGTTCTCTTCAGTACAGATGTGGTGGTATCTGAGGGCTTGGCTGTATATCACAGCTTTTTTGGTGTGTTTAGGGTGATTGCTGGTTCTGTGCAGATATGTATGTTGGTCTGTGGGTTTCTTGTATACTGTGGTCTGTATTTTACCCTTCTGGATACTGATCATTGTGTCTCAAAAGGAGATACTGGTGCTGGAGTATTCTAGAGAGAGTCGGATGGAGGGATGGGGATTGTTGAATTTCTGGTGGAACTCAATCAGAGATTGTAGCTTTTCAGTCCAAATGATGAAGATGTCATCGATGTATCTTAAGTATAGCAAGGGTTTGATGGTGCAGTTCTTGAGGAAGTCTTCTTCCAGGTGGCTCATAAAAAGGTTGGCATACTGTGGGGCCATTTTAGTGCCCATAGCTGTTCCCACCATGCAACTTTAAATAAAAAGAGCCTGATGGTGGTAGATTTTAGGGTTATATCTTACCAAACTTACAGCAACTCTGACAGCCCTGAGATGCTTTGGTGAGTCGTGGACTCCCTGGGGGAAAATGCCAGCTATCGAATCATCATAACCATCAGAGCAGTCCCCAGTGATCTCCCAGTCAGTTACCAAACCAGGTCTACCCTGCTTAGCCTGTTGGAGCTGGCGTCCAATAGACCCTGGTGATATAACATAATGCTGAGGATAGAAAATTCCCTTTTGGCACAATCCTGGAGAAGTAAAGCAGCAAATGGAAAAAGCAGCTTCCTAATCCCCTAATAAAATCCGTGTGGATTTTTATTTGACTGCAAATCTCCTCTGATCTGATGCATACCCAGGGTGTCTTTTCCTTTGTTACTAAGAGCTGTACAATCTAGGTGCAGACACCTAGCAGGCAGTGATGTGGCCTGGATTTTGCCCCATGGCAAATTTATTCCGCAACAAGAAGTAGATATCGCCATCCCAAACTGGATGCGTGCAGAAGACGCTATTACAGGGCCTGCCAGTAGGTGACAGGAGAAGCCGCTTGCATTGATCAGGGAGTGAGATCTGGACACAAGATATTGGGACATCGCTACATGGGTAAATTACAGTATACTATTCCATTTGCTATGGACTAAGTGGCCCATGTGTCCGCACCCAGGTCTCTGCCCTGTGTTTTTCTGGATCAGCCTTTGCAGCCCCCAAAAGAGGCAAGGGAGGTGCTGTCATCACCCCCACCCCAGAGTTTTCAAAGCAGAGATGCTCACTGTGCAACTCCTAATACACCTCCCATTTAGAACCTACCACTTCAAACCGTGAGCCCCTAAGAAGCTGGAAAGCAGCTCAAGCTTGCTCTCCATTGGCTTCTTCTTTCATCCTTTCTTTCTAAGCCATTCTTTTGCTTCTTCCTGAATGCTGGGGGCTGGCCATGGGGCTGGAGGGACTTCAGCTGCATGGGAAACCGTAAGCCCTGCAGGGGCAATTTTGGGGAGAGACTCACTTCTAAGCTCTGCTGCTGCAGGCCAGCCAGGCAGACAGACCCTTTGTCCTGTCCTGAAGCTTCCCCAGGCAAAGCTTTAGCCTGGACTTCCCAAAGCCTTGTCTTTCCTAGAGAGGGGTCTGAGGCTAGCCCCTGCCCACCTGGGGCTGAAAAGCAGCAGTCTGCTCCCCTCCCAGACCACAGCCAGAATGGGGTAAAATCATAGAAAATGAGGGTTGGAAGGGACCTCAGGAGGTCACATCTAGTCCAACCCCCTGATCAAAGCAGAACCATCCCCAACTACATCATCCCAGGCAAGGCTTTGTCTAGCCAGTAGGGCGGTGCGAAACAGAACCATTCTGTTTCGACTGGCGTTTCGACGTTTCGACAGAATGGTGTTTCATTTTGACTTTTGTTTTGAGTCGACCGTTTCGTCATTTCGCCCATAGGATATAATGGGAAGGTCAAAGCAGGCTATAACGTTGTCATTCCTGGCCTGATTTGGATAAAACTTCAAGAATGGTAGCCCCTTCTAAGGGCACGAAGCATGCCAAGTTTCAAGAAGATAGATGCATGGGGAGCAGACAGAAAATGCACCCCAAAATCTTGAGAGTAAAACTCATGTCATGTACATGTGTTAAGCCACAGTGGGGTCAAAACTGCAGGGGTGGTGGCCCTGCTGAGGCCACAAAGCCTGCCAAGTTTCAAGGAGATAGGTGCAGGGGTTTGGGGAAACTGCACCTCAAGCTGCAGACAAGTAAAACTCATGCCGTGGGTGACACTGTGTGTGTTAAGGCACAGCGGGGTGACAGCTGCAGGGATGGTGGCCCCTGCTGTGGCCACGAAGCCTGCCAGTTGTTGAGGAGATCAGTGCAGGGGGGTTCTGGGGCCCTGCACCTCTAGCTGCTGACAGACAAAACTCATGACGTGGGTGCTTGTGCAACTGCTGCCTCTCATCAGGCAGCAGGACTGAAGATCCCCCATCACCTGGCACCAAGACCTGGGGTTAATAAATGACCACAGTATGAACATGAGCAGGCTGTGCGATGCTGTAGCCAACAGGGCCAACAGTACGCTGGCATGTATTAATTGATGCATCTCCAGCAAAACCATTGCAAAGAAGTGATTCTCCTGCTCTACTCGGCTCTGCTCAGCACTGGTGAGACCATAGCTGGAGTACTGCATCCAGTTCTGGGCTCCGCACCTTAACAAGGACGTGGTAAAGCTTGAGAGAGTCCAGAGAAGGGCTACCCATATGGTCAGAGACTAGCACGGCAAGCCACATGAGAAAAGACTGAGACACCTGGGACTCTTCAGCCTGAAAAAGAGAAGGCTGAGAGGGGACTTGGTAGTGGCTTACCACTACATCAGAAGTACACATCTAGGGCTCAGTGAATAACTGT